TCAGACCCCTCTGAAAGCCCAGTTGTATGGGAGGTATCGGTGTTTTTATTGAGCCCGTGTTTTACATTAATCACTTGAGGGCAAAGTCCACATCGACCATAGGGGCGGAAACGGTCTACCGTTGTGGACAGAGATGGCCTCTTATTGAGCCTTCCTACCTGGCACACTCGTCCTACTCGTCTCGTCGGGAGACGAGCGCCGGTAAGGAAAGTGAAAAGCAGAGTGATGAACCATCTCCACCCATGCCTCTAAAGGAGGACTATACGCAGTGGGAGAGAGATTAATTATGGTGTCACAAAGCGCACTAACTTACCGACATACAAATTAAAGCTACTTTTTTTGTGTGATTTTGCTCTGTCTCTCATTTATGACCTCTTCAGACCGTGTTCCTGATAGATCTTACATCGCTAACTCGAGAACTTAACTTCATGAGAACTGCTGCACCACTGAACGAAATCGCTGCCGCTACTAATGGACACTTGATCGTCAGTGATCAGAGGAATACTTCGCAATTTGAAGATGTAAGTTTCAGGGACGTTACGAAGTCGTATGTTACTACAATACTGTCTCGAGGCTAGAGATGTCATACTCCGTACTAGTTAGATCGATTGTCGCGACATCATGAATACGGAATTTTGGCTGGCGACGAGCTGATCAGATGTTTCAGGGTACTGTCCGCCTTGGAAGGGGCATTTCGCGTTCTCGCTAGTCCCTTTTCCTGGTTCCTAATGGATTCACACTTCAGAGACTTTTGTAAGTGTAGACGAAGCAATTCTTTGGAACAATTAATATGCCCCTGCCAAACTAAACAGTGCCGTGTTCAGCTAGATTTCGCACATTCTTTTGCTTATTCGACTTTGCCATAACTGCAACCAAAGAGCCTGATAAAATAGATTTTGGCAGACTAGGTCCAACACTAGGTATCATCTGAAAAAGCTGGCCAGTTCGTTGGCCAAACAAATTCCCGTTTCAACGCCGTCGAAATGCGCCTTACTATACGTCTAGAACCCTGCCAGGCTGTAACAGATGAAGCATGGACGCTTCAGTTTGAACAGGTATGGTGGAAAAACCGAAAGAAGAAGCTCCTGCGTGCAGAAATTGAATACACAGTAGCGAGTAGATGCCGTGGTGTTGAAGGTTCCTCTAAGCGTGCGTGCGTGCGTGCGTGCGTGCGTGCGTGCGTGCGTGCGTGCGTGCGTGCGTGCGTGCGTGCGTGCGTGCGTGCGTGCGTGCGTGCGTGCGTGCGTGCGTGCGTGCGTGCGTGCGTGTATGTACGGTCCGTATCGGAAGGTAGTAGAAACGTTCTCAATATACTCAGCGCAAGCTGCATATTCTCATGCCGATTCTTTTCTCCCATACACACGTATTTTGTCTAAACGCTCCCAACCGTCGCCGGCGTCGCTCGAAAACGTCCTTTTTGCCCTCAGGTGTGGATTGTACATCCACGCGTGAGTAGCCCATATCAGCGCGCCGAGTGGGGGCATGTCCAGGAATTTAGTTGGGGCTGCTGCGTACCGCGTAGTGCTGCTCCTTTGTAGCAGAAATTTCAAGTTACCTTGGTGTCGGCATTCCTGTTGTCTACGTCACTACTGCCTTTTTTTAAACGGCAACCTACCGAAGATATGCAGCGGGCTCGCAAATTTCCCCTAAACACGCCCTCTCCAAAAGCCGTGTTATGGACTGTACGTATCGCTAGCGCGCTATGTGAAGTTCCGATGCGCGTGAGCATCGTTTCATCATTGCAGACCAAAAGGTCTCTAAATTTATGACATTTCAGCTTTTGAAAATAATCTATGCAAGTGGGCCATCACAGTCACTATTATTTGCGAGAAGTATGCGATACATGGCAGGAACAACTAGTCTGGGTACACTGCCCATCAATGAGAATGTGCAGGTGACGATCACCGCAACTAAATCCGTGTACGGTAAGTGAAGTGATTTCCACCTTCTTGTTCGGCTATGGATAGGCTAAGTTCGGGGTTTTTGGTAACAGCACGCCACTGCACGGCTCGCTGGAGGCGAACGAGGCGCTCGATTGACTAACGCCCCGTTCTCTCCCTTATCAGCTACTCATTCCCATTTTTACCGTGACTTATGTCTTTATTCAAATACTGGACGCATGCAAGACTGGATGTGCCTTATTAGAAGTACGGAGCACGACCATCTTAGCGTAGACGACCTTCGTCTAATGAGGTTCTCCTGCCCAAGTCAGGTAAGGGGTGCA